TTTTCATGCCCATCTACACATGTCCTGAATGAGCCAGCGGCCAGCCCTCGGCCCGCTCTGCTCTCATAACTGTCAGGAGATCCTTTATCTGACGGACCTTTATTTACAGCTTTAATTTCCTGAGCTTTATGTGTTCCGCTTGCACTACACACCACCGTGACAGGGGCGTATGCTGTTGAGAATGCTCTGCAAATTTTTGATAGGCAAATGTCCTCTGAGCTTTCATTACATTTCATGTTCGAATGGTAAATTGTCAGGAGGTATGATCAGAAGCAGAGATTTTTGTCTCTTAGATTTACAGTCAATTTTTCCTCTGTTGTTCAGAGTGGAAGATCTTTAGCTATGCCTCCTTTCTGGGCTGCTGATAATCTGATGTTGTCCAGGTCATGTTGCTGCTACCTGTTTCTCAGTCTGAGGCAGGTAGAAACGGCTGCTTTGACAGAACCTGTAAATCAATCCCATTCTCTGGCAAACAAAGATTGATCCCACAGTGGCATGATGGTTGCTGGGCGGTGGGATCCAGGCCTCAGATTTGAGTGGGATGATATCAGACAGATTCATGACATCTAAGCCTGCCGGTTCGAAGAGGCATGAAATAAACACTAGGCCATTGCCAATAACAGAGGCAGCATAAGTAAGCTTTCTAGCCTCTCCACTGGACCTTCGGAAATTGGTATTGAAAACCTTGTTTATTCATTCATCTGTACTCCAGAGCTGCAGATGTATTTATGAAACCTAAAGGAAAAACCAATACAGAATCATAAGTTTTGCCCTCAAATTCTTGCATAGTTTAGTGATGTACTGTGGTCTGTTTGGAAATGTTTTCGACTTGTCTGTGGTCATGAAATTTTCCTTGCTACTGACCCCATTTTCTTTTATTCAATGAAGTGTGTGCCTCAAAACATTTATTTATTTATTTTAAATTAGAGGCTGGGGCTCAGTTTATTTATGATTTTAATTCATTTTAAACAGTGACTGTATGCTTTAATTTTACCTCGAGTTCTAAAGGTTTCCTAGTAAAGTATTTCCATAGATTCCTGTATCTACATCTCAGGGTCCTCAAAGACCTACTTCATTCCATAAACATGCTTTTTCCAAGGTAATAAATATTTTAATGACAGAAACTAAATGGAATTTCAGTAACGTCTGTCATTGTAAATGATCATAGTTGGCTATGTGTTGCTCAAAATGGAATAGTTTTGCCATTGCTATTATAATTATGCAAAGGCCAGGATATGTCTTTACAACACACTGAAAATGTTGAGTTTTGAAATTACATGGTAATTATAGTTTTACACACTGTGGCCTTAATTACTGTGTGCCATTATGGGGCGCACAAAAGTCATTCACAGAATCATTATTGCACCCTCTAAGATAACGGCACAAAAGAACTCCACATGGAAAATTACATTTGAGACCTCTCATCTGCTGTTTCATTACCTTGCTCTGTCTGATGGGCGAAATGGGTTCTCTTAATTTAAGGAGCCGGATTCCAGCTTGGTGAGTGGTTTATGCAATCTCACGGTAAGTGTAATTTCCCATAATGCCATGTCACAGTTACTACTCTGCTTAGCTACCACATTCAACTTGTTGCATTGTGGGCCATCTTTACCCTGCATCTCACAAAAAAGACCATTTCTATGGTGCACACCCTGCAAATACAGAAGTATGCAATTATCTGTAAGTCAGAAGTGTTTCTATGGGTGACATGACTTCTTTTGACAGACATAATTAGTCTGCAGATTCTAAGACACTAAGAAACCATCTTCATTCACAACTCTGCCAGGTTATTTACATGGCAGAAGCATCCAACTGATGTCATGGGATACAACGAACTCAATCTATTGAGGATGGGAATGAGTTTGATCTTGTGGTTTGTCAGTGTTTGTATGAGGACAAGTCAACAATGCCCATCTTCAGGTGACATGAGGAGCCTAGATAACGGTGATCAGTTTTAGAGGTCAATAAATACATTGTTTTTTTTTGTTTACACTTACTGGAAAACAGAAGAAGTATGCCCCGACATCTGCTGAATACACACCAGTAATCCTTTTCCTTGTTCAATGTAAACTAATTTCCTCCTCTGTTATTCTACTAAACCCAATGTTCTTTTGGGAATAGTTAAACATTACATACACAACTGTGTAGTTTTGACAGTGTAACTCCCAGGAACAAGAAGCACATGAAAAGAAAAAGGTGGGATAACTACTTAAGTTAAACAATAAGATAATCTCTTTCTGCAGTACAGCGTATTACAGATCCTACTTACAGTATAATGGAATGCTAAATGAATTATAGTAAAAGCAGCATGTACAATGTATAGGTTTTGTTTAGGTCATGTAGTATGTTCTTCAGGTAATTCTCTAGCAGGTTTATAGCGGCAGCATATTTACAGTGTCTGTTGCAATGTTAAAGGAAAACTGCAGGGAGGGAAAGCTCAGTGTGCAAGAATCAGTCAGGTGTGATCGACGGAGCTTAGTGTCATTTTATCAACTTTAACATACCTTAATGATAAAACAGAACCGGTGTTCATTAAAAAAATAGCTATCTTTCCCATGAGGTTTAGAAGGACATACTAAAAAATTTTAACTTACTAATAGAAACACATGAGACCTTTGGCTGCTTTTTCCTTGTGTTGATTTGCCTTTAAAGTATTTCCAAGAATTGCTCAGTAGATTAAGCATTATGAAGCTTTATTGAAACACCTTTATTGTAACTTTAGAGAAAAAATATCTGCAACATCGCTGTGTGTTAAGCAGAACTTAAGCTTTTACAATCTGCTGTAATGCAGGGCTTGGACCTGATAAGGACAGAAAGATGTTTTCTTCAGTACCATATCTTGCTATGAAAATGTAAGCTGCAAGTGATTGTCAGCATGGTTTGCGATTTGGTTGGGATGAGAGTAGCACCTCTAGAAAGAGTCCCAGCCTTTTAGTGGTTGAAATGGGAAATTTCCCCCTCCCTCATCACTTTGTGAATTTGTTCTGCAGTGTCAGCAGTCAGCACACAAAAACGGAATTCAGTAAAAGCTCCCTCTGCTTTCTGGGAGTTTTTTTTCCCCAACAGCTTGCCCCCACCTCCCCCTTTCCCTCTCATGAACTGACATGCTGGAAGAAACGTATGCTACTGTACTATTCCCTCTTCCTGCCAGCTTGGGCTGCTTGAATGGGATCTCGCTCTT